TATATGGCAATAGACTCACCGTCTATTACATGGGACTCATAACTCATAACATAAATAGTGAAAAGTGGGTGTTACATTGTACAGTGGCATAATGTGCACCTCTGCCTATCCCTTCGGGGATAAAAGGCGTGATGTTATGTGTATAAATTTTAATGCTCTACACTCGTACCATAGAGAATTGGCCGGTTTTGTTTTGATATTTTCTTTAGTTTTTTTTTTAACTTTTCAGCTACTGATTTTTAAATAATGCACGATTAATTCGTGGTTTTATTCTTTCCTGATTATTTTATTTGTTGTGTCTTATATATAATAAAATAATTAGTAGGTATTAGGTAATTGTGTAGCGATACAGCTTTCTCACATATATATACATTTTTTAAGGGGGGAAAATCATCGAATGACTGAGAGAGAGACGGAATGAGGGAGTGTCAGACTCTTACTGACGAAAAACCACCCCGTTCCTTCTCCTGCACGTCGAGCCGGAGCCCCGGTAACCCGTTAGGTTCTCCGCGACACATATACATACATTAGGTAAAGGATCAGATAATGTATCAATGAGACTGTAGAAAAAATATTTTTTAAAAGTAGCGTTGGAGTTTCTTGCTCGTTCTTCTCCATTCAAAACTACACTTTGGAGCGAGCTGAACCTAACTTAGCTTCACTGATAGACAGACGGACGTACAATTCAATTTTTTATGTTTCAAAAGTTCCTAATTAAGAATTAATATAATTAAATGCTTTAACTTTGACTTTAACATTTTATAAGTGAAACACAATTGATTAATGTACCCTAACAAACCCACGTAAGTAATAATGTGTATAAGATAAACAATAAGACACTAAATACAGAACATGTCAAGATTTTAAGTGTGGGAGAGCCATGCTTCGGCACGAATGGGCCGGCTCGACCGGAGTGATACCACGGCCCCACAGAAAACCGACGTGAAGCAACGCTTGCGTTGTGTTTCGTCGTGTGAGTGAGGTTACCGGAGGCCTAATTACCCTCCCCTTCCCCAACGATCCTCAAACTCCTAATCGCCAAAAGGCCGGTAACGCACTTGTAACGCCTCTGGTGTTCCAGGTGTCCATGGGTGACGCCGGTTGCTTACCATTAGGTGATCCGTCTGCTTATGCCATAAAAAATAAAAAACAGATTACAGACTTAGATAGACTATCAGACATAGATAGACTATCTAGTTCCGTGCCCAAGGTATCCAGGATTCAATTCAATCTAGACTCAAATATTTGCATAACCTACAATCTCAGTTCGAATCACTTCGTTTGTGTGAGGTCTGTGTCTTAGTGTTTACACAGTATAGTTCGTGTAGTCAAATGCAATGGTGTCAGATTTTTAAACAAGATTTTTATAAACGTCTCAAATTACAAGCTGTAGGGCATATTCCAAAAGGTTTAATGAAAGAGTTTTATGTATTTCAACTGTAAGAAGGGTTAAACGTGGATATTTGTGTTATGTAAAGTACATTTCCTAAGACTGCCTCGTTGGTCGTAAGTGCGACTGCCGGGCAAGGAGTGTTGATTTGGATGCCCGGGTCGGGCAAAGCATTACTGTGTTTTTTTTATTATCTGTAGTAGCACGCAGTCAAATTTATATATATATTATTATAAATTTATATTTATTTACACGCAGTTATATTTGCAGGGTGCCACCAGAAGATGAGCGTTGAGTGTTACCACGCTCAACATAATGCTGAGGTGGAGGCCCGTTCGACACGTGCATGCATCTATTTTTGTTAATTTTGTGATGTTTATTGTTTGTTTTAATTTTGTTTTTATTTATAACTCATTTTTGTCTACATATCTGTGCATGCAATGTGTCGAATAAATGTTTTTCTTTCTTCTTCTTCAGTCTGGAATTGTGCCCAGTATAATTATGGCAATAGGCTCACCTCCTATTACATGGAACTCATAACATAAATAGTGAAAAGTGAGTGTTACATTGTACAATAGCATTAAGTGCCATACTGTGCACCTCTGCCTACCCCTAAGGAGATGGAAGGCGTCATGTTATGTTATATTATTTCTTGCGGTAAATTCTATTTATGCCTAACTATCTAATAATATACTGGATTTTTCAGCAACAAATTATTTAGAAGTATGAGAATAAATAGAGATACGATTCGAAAACAATCAAATACATTGATTACAATAATATTTACTATGTAAAACTATGTTGCATGTATACTTCAGTTATTGTATTCAAAAATTATAAAATACATTTAAAAATCTCCAAAAGACAAATACAAAGTCATAACCCCTATAACATATAGGTAACATGACAGCAACCCATTTATGTAATTCAGCTATTAACTAAAAATAATGAGATGAAACATCGTCCAATAAACAATTTTCATTAGTTTTCTGACAAAATGTTCTTGTGAAATAATTAAAACAACAATTAACTGGTGAACAAAAGATTTAACAGCTCCGCTTTGGCCAGACGATCGTTTATTAAGTTAGCAAACTTTTAACTGTATTAAACGTTACTTCTTATACTTAATTCAATTATAATGTTTGATTATATTTCTGGAGCTCGCAGCAAAGTGACTACCATTGAAACATGCCACTTTTGGTAAAACTACAATTATAATTTTATAAACAATGGCGTCGAATCTCCGCTATGTTTTTGATAAAAGTTACACATACTAAAAGTACAAAATTACTGTATTAACTGACACCATATTTCTAGCGTTAAATGAGTACTTTCCTTAATCAAAAATAAATGATTTCGACTGTTCAATACAATAAAATATTAAAACATAATCATACTTTCATTAATTGATTTTATGACCAACTTAATTTTTATATTTTTCAGCATAAATAAGTATGCTGTTTGACGCTAAAAAAGTGACGTCACAATACATAATCTCGTTCAAAATTCGTAGAAAACAGTCGTTTTTGACAGTTCGAAAAAAGTATTGAATTTGACTAGTTGGCAAGTATGCCTCTCAATTATCTTCGTCTTGTCCGTACAGTTGACTAATCTGTCAGAAGTATCACTCATGGTATCACGACTGTCATTGATTGTGTCAACATTATTACGTAACTTCCTCCAAATGTCACAGGTGTCGCATCATGATCTCCATCGCGTGCGACATGACAAACGTGATGTCATCTGAGATCTCACCCTTATCGCCATCGCCATTAATATTCTTATCAACGATATTAATCTATTATTTAGCTATTTTATATCATTAAATAAATAAGTTATGAGTCATTGTTCTAAAACTAGAATGGGGTAGATATTTTAAATCATTAGACACGTATTTTTTATTTTCTTACAGAAACGAATACTTTCGACGATATATTGATTTGAAATGTCGCGTGACGTCATTTCTATGTACATTTTTACGTAGATATGACGTTTTAGCCTCCACTCCCAAACTTTGATTCGTTTTATCTAAGTATTATTTTATTATACGACAAAATAAAAAATACGTGTCTAATACTTTTTCATCACCTAACTAATTAGATTTTTAATTTTCATACCCTGTCATCATCCCTATTATATGCACGAAAATGTCATGAACACTAAAGTACGTTGAATTTATCAATGGGCAAGTCATGCCAAGATATCAAATGTCGTAGGGTTAAATAACCCTTAATTGGGCTGCTGGGAACGCCCCTTCGTTATCCTTCTGAAGGCCTTTTGGACCCTTCGACGGAAAACCTATTAAAGTCTCTGATTTCTATAGTGTTTTGTTTAGTTTAGGAGAACTATTGTCTAAACTTAATTGCTTGGATCTCAGACCTCTATTATAATTACAGCTGGTAGTAAACTCGACAATTTAGTTATTTAAAACTATTGAGATTACTTAATATTTTATTATTATAAAACTAATTTTAGTTCGTTTGAACACAATACGCCAATCAAAGGATTTACTTTCAAAAACTTAAAACAAAATACGAGTATGTGTTATTCTTAAATAACTTTCTGTTATTATGAAATCTTATTGCTGCCTCATTGGTTGAGTGATCGCAAGTGCGACCGGTAAGGGATCTCGGATTCTATTCCCGAGTCGAACAAGCATTACTGGGTTTTTAAAAAAATCTCAGTAGTAGCACGGTGTCTGGATTTGTGCCCGCCCGGTATATGGCGATAGGCTCACCCCTATTACATGGGACTCTTTACATAAATAGTGAATAATGGGTGTTACATTGTACAAGGCATTAAGTGCCATAATGTGGACCTCTGCCTACCCCGTCGGGGATAAAAGAAGCGATGTTATGATGATGATGAAATTTTATTTTCTATCCTTAGCCATGATTCATTTCTTCGGATTTGAACCATTTCCTTAACAATACACTGGCATTGGTTATTTAACTAACAGACATTAGTTTACTGTTAGCCACAGTACCCATTTCTAAATTATCCTCTTTAGGTATCTTAATATCTACAAACTCCAGCTCAATATCTTGTAATGTCCTGTCTTTAGTTTCTGGTAAAATAAAATATAAAACACCGATACAAATAACTGCTATTACTGTGTACACACCAAATGTTCCATGAGCGTCCATCGCATCGAGCATTATTGAAGTAGATTTAATCAAAATCATGCTTGACAGAGCATAGAATATTCCTAAAACGCTTGTTCCTAATCCTTTATATTCTATGGGAAGTAATTCTCCTTTCAACACCATAGAAACTGGTATAACACCTAAATAACACACTATGTTGTATAGAATCAACAGTAACGGAGTCAGCCAATTTACAGTCAGAATACCTTTCTGTTGCAATGAATGGAACAAACAGACTAAACTCAGTAAAACGCATGCCACAATACTCGAATACAACAATAAGTGGCGTCGTTTGAATACCCTCACAATGTAACTCGTTGTCAGTACAGCTAAGATTTTCATCACATCCAGCCCTATCGTGTAGTAGTAGGCCTGCGACTTGTCACCGGTTAATGAGATCATTATTTGTACCACATAAGCCAACAGATAATGTCTGCCACACACTTGAGTCAAGATAATCAACATTAACACCACTGTGAAGGGTTTCAAAAACTCTTTAGACTTCATCGCTTGTAAGTTCCTCATCAAAGCTCCGGATTTCTTCAACTTTTTCATATTTCTCAATTCTTGCTGTGCGGTTATCATTTCTTTTAATTCTTTTTGCGCTTCCATACCGTTTCCTCTGAGCCACTCGAACGATGTTACGCATTCATCGAAGCGGCCCTTATAAGCCAACCATTGCGGACTTTCTGGCCACACCGCAGTTCCTAGCGCGGCTAAAGCTGGTGGGGCAGATGCTAGCCAGGCCATCTGTCTCCAAGACAAGGAGAACCCAAACCCATGACAGATGAGTTCACCAATACCAGTCGCAGAAATCTTAAATATGATGAAGAAACCTCTTCGCTTCGGATGACTGTATTCTCCAGCTAGAATACTGCAGATGTAAAGCCCTCCGAAGGACAAACCTTGAATAGTTCTCCCAGCAATAATAGTTGGGACGTTGGGGGACAGCGCGATGATGACCCAGCCTATAAAGATGACTAAGTTCATAATGACGTTGATGAATCTTCTGCCGTAGATCTGCATGAGCGGAGGGAGCAGAAGGAAGCCGACACCGCCTGTCATGCTGAAGGCCGCTGCTGTAAATAGGATACAAAGTTGCCCTTGGTAAGTGTAAAGTTATTTTCTAACGTTTTTTATGTTGTAATCACTGTTCCTTAGATATCTACAATACATTAAAATGATTTTATTACATTTATAATAAAGGAAATAAAGCGAAAATTTATTTCTCAGAAAATAATGTTCTCAGTTGTTATTGATTTAGATAAAAATTCTCTGTGAAGATACTCAATATTTCGGATTTACAAAATCTATACCACATTGAAAATTGTGTGGGAGAGCTATGCTTCGGCACGAATGGGCCGGCTCGACTGGAGTGATACCACGGCCTCACAGAAAACCGACGTGAAGCAACGCTTGCGTTGTGTTTCGTCGTGTGAGTGAGGTTACCGGAGGCCCAATTACCCTCCCCTTCCCCAGTCTCCCCAATTCCTGAATCCCCAACGATCCTCAAACTCCTAATCCCCAAAAGGCCGGTAACGCACTTGTAACGTCTGATGTTCCAGGTGTCCATGGGCGACGCCAATTGCTTACCATCAGGTGATCCATCTGCTCGTTTACCGGCTTATGGCATAAAAAAAAATGTTCCGTCGGTTTCTTGATCTACTTTCCTTGCAAAATTATTTGATTTTGTCTGCTACTCACCTATCCAAGAAGCTTCTCCGTTAGTGGCATGTACGTCAGTGCCATTATTCGTATCACCGGCAGTAATAGCCGGTGTAAGGACAGCAGGGTATGATAGGACGAACCCAATGGCCAAATGATGCAAAATCATGGATACCATCACACACCACTGAAATATTAAGAAAAACAGAAAGAAAGTAAATAGATCATTTATTCAACACTTAAATAACACGACTTATTCCCGACCAAATGTTGGCAAACGTGAGTGTGCAACAAGGGGCCTTGTGTTCTAATCCTGGGTCGGTAAAAGTTTTGCCAGTGGCTTCGCCCGCATTACCATGAGATAAAAAGTAGCCTATTGTTATTCCAGACCATCCCTGTACCAAATTTCATCACGATCTCTTCTAATAAACAAACACACAAAATTTCGCATTTATAATATTAGTAGGTTTACTAGGATTAGCGAATCATCACATCATCAACAGCCTCTAAGTGACCACTGCTGACCAAAGGCCTCTTCTCACACGGAGAAGGTTTGAGTATTAATCACCACACTCAATGCATTTGAAACATATAGTTTCTATTTCTTACATATTTCTAATGACTCAATGCATTTGAAATTGAGTCATTAGAAATTTTAAGCTCAGGTTTCCTCACGATGTTTACCTTTACCGTTTGTCAGTGGTGTCTAAATAATCTTAAAATGTATAATTTAATCCCAATCTATAAACTAATATTTATGGTAAGAATTTAACTGGTAAAATAATGATAAGTGAACAAAACAATCTTCAAAAAAACTTTTCATGGTAGATGTCCCACCCACACGCACAAAGCGCTTCGCATCAAGCTTTCTTGTGCGTACGGCTGAGGAGTGGAATTCTTTGCCAGAGTCTATTTCCTGAAGGGTATAACCTGGGTGTCTTCAAGGCCCGAGTGAATAGGTTACTTATTGGACGACATGCTCCATCGTAGACCGCATCATCGCTTACCACCAGACGAGATATTGTTCAAACGTCGGCCCATCTATTTTATACAAAACAACAGAATAAAAAAACTCACTTCTCGAATTAAAGGTGCCACCATATTTAGTTTCTGAGTAGCACACGACCAAACGAACGTAATAGAAAAACTCGACTACTGTCACAACGAAACAAAACGATAAAAATTGTTATCTCTATTTGTTATTTATAATGTTTATGTCAATACTAACTGCTGCCCGTGGCTTCTCTTATGTACACAAAGCACCGCTAATTAGTTGCAGCGCTACACATCGACACAACTGTCATTTACACAGTGTACATGTGTGCGTAATTTCATATAACTGTATATAAAAATATTCGTCCACCACGTTCACATTGGTATTTTCATTCTTGTGTCGGTATACGTATTTTTATAATTTAATGCATAGGTAAGGTTAAAACTATTTACAATCATTGATATGACCCGACATTTTCACTGTCATTATCGTAGTGCTCGTGGTCGATTGGTTAATGAGCACGCTTTTATCGTCTTTCAAGGATCAATGATGTGGGTTCTATTCCAGCTAAAAGTTAATTTTATTTTACCTTGTTATTTTTCTTATTTTTTTTTTTGTTTTTTGTTTTTTGTCATAAAATATAAATATCAGGCTATAAAAGAAGCAAATGAGTTGGTAAATAAAACAATACTATTTTTTATTACAATTAATTTATTTATTATACAAATATGTTGTTTTATATTCAATATTTATATCTAATAATTAATTATATACCACATGTTAAGTTTAAAGTTCTTTAAATCATAATTAATAGATATGACAATAAACCTCATAGTCGAATCGGGAAATATCATGCGGTATACAGCGGTAATACGATGGCAGCAACATTTTTTATTAAGTAGGTAATAAACAAATATACAACATTCTTGTTTTGTAATTTAATAATATAATGTATTATTAAATTACAGTTTTACAGTAATAAACAAGTAAAACATGTAAAAAATTACATGTAAAATATTTCTTGAAATGGGCGACTTTTTGTCGTTTGAACTTCCATTAATTATCTATTTTACGACGGTTGTTATAAGGTTCAATATTCAGTGGGCTGTATGATAGTAAAAAGAATGTGACGAATGCTATGGAACGATTTTAACTTTCATGACCTTTAGAATCAGGGAAACTTTAAATTAATTGAAGATGGGCGTAAATATAATATGTCAATCAAGTTCGAAAGCAGTTAAATAAATTTGTTAATGAAAAATTAAAGTGAAGTGAATAAACATGTTGAATAGAAAGAAATTATGACAATTTCTAACCACAAAACAATAACATCACTTCACCGTATGTTCTAGACAGCATTTTAATATTCTTAAAAAAATTAAACATTATTTTATGTTAATTTTAATAAAGGCAGAGTTTGACAGGCTCAATAATTGATTCCGAAATCAATACAATCACTGATGTTCGCCCAATCAAAATTAATAAAGTCCTTAGCAAATTCTTAGCGCTTTTGCTGGTGAACCATAGATAACAATGTTTTCTTCTCTGGCTTCCTGCACCTTAAACCAGAATGCAGGTGTCTCCGTACAGTTTGTATTAAAACATTCAGTGCTGTCGCTGTAGTGCGGGTTGGCAGGAACGGATCAGCCATGTGCCTGGCTACGATGTCGTAGTGCCGAGCCGATGAATTTGCCTTTGGTTTAGGCCCACGTCGACGATGTTTAACGTCACCGGTCTCCGCATATCTGTGCACCCATAACTGCATGGATCTCCTCTGTTGATACCAAACAAATAAGTATTTAAAATACCAGGAAATACTTTACAGGAATTAAAGTTACTTAAAAATAATAATAAATATAAGTAAACACAATGTTAGAATAATAATTTATAATTAAGTAGTGGCGTAAGGAATAAAAATCCCTAACCAGATATGTTTTAAAGAAACACTCCTAACAAAAACAAGTCAAGTTACAATACAATTAATAATAAATTATTAATATATCTTTATAATATTGAACTTCATAATAAGTTGCAATAATTATTTTATTCTAGTGCAAAAATTGATAGGTGTGTCGAGTTACAAAATGAAATAAATATTATTTAGAATAACAACGTAGTATCTTATTTACTCACCGATATCATTAAACGCCTTGCTATTTCAGTTATTGTTAGTTATGTTTTGCTCATGCAAAACAATGGTTTCAGCCTTTTTAAATGTTGATAGGTGTTGGAACATCTTGTAAAAATAAAAAAACTTTGCACACGAATATAAGTAGTGTAGCAATAAACTATGAAATCCTCATAAATTGACAACTAAGAACGCAATTATTTTGTAAGTCGGGTGATTTGAAAAACATGTTTTAAATAGTCGGTAGTTACTTCATAAGCGTGTAAAATAAAATGACTCGAGATTTCTATGGTCGCCACAAACATTGCAAATATACTCAGGTATCGAACCATTAAGAAATCACAGTTAATTACTTTTTTACTGTTTTTATCTTATTTAAGTTGGTTGAAATGCATGAAGCAAATGAGATTATTCTAAATAATAAATAACTAGAACTAAAATATAAATAAAAGATATTATAGGTATAAATAAATCTAAAGTATTTACTATTAAAATTAACATAAGATTTAGAACAATAGGAAAGGAAAAAAAAGAAAAGATTTAATTGTTTCTAATTTCAAATTTCAAATATTTGATAAATTAATTCTAAAACAACATGTGAATGTTGGAACCGATCCGGCGGCACTTTACTTGACAATTGGAGGCGATAACCATTGCGCCAAGCGCGCTGTAGATGAGATCATCGAAATATTTTATATCATTCAGTAACATAAAATTACAATGAGAAAGCACTATATTTATATGGGTATTGTATAGCTCGATCGTTCATTATTTTTGATTTCGATTTATTCAAAGTTTGTTATGAGTAATTTTATCTTTACCCTCGTTTTTATTTAAACTTATTTACTAAATTATTGCGTATACCGACACAAAAATGATTTTTAAATACCAAGATGTGTGTGATAGACGATTGTTTCTATACATATCTATTGATATGAAATTACCCACACATGTATATTGTGTAAATGATAGTTGTGTCGATGTGTAGCGCCGCTAACTAATTAACGGTGCTTTGTGTACTTAATGAAATAAATAAATAGTAGTTGTCCTCATTAAGATATAAAAACATACGACCAAAACTACCGACGAATTGAGAACCGCCTCCTTTTTGGAAAGTCGGTTAAAAATAACTACTAAAGCATAAGATTACTATGATCACATACACTAACAATAAATGGGCTAATAGCACCCGTTCAGCAGGGTTGTCAGATGTCAGGTAGATCGGCGAGCGATTTGGGGATTGTAGTCAAGAAAACTCGAATACCTAAACTACAGTTT